AACTTATAATGACCAATCATTCTGTCTCAGTATGTGCATGACTTATAATAGATTCAGTTGTAATTTTATCATAATGCAATACAATTATTTGTACCACATTTGGCCAAGAAATATTTTAAAATTGCCACAGTATGTGCCATGATTTTCAAAGAATAAGTGATTAACCGTTCAATACAAGATCTTGTGTATACATTGTACATGTAAGTCACAAACCAAAAACGTCTGCCACAAAAATGGAATGATTGAATTTGAGCTTACATGTACATTTCTTCTTTTTTTATAATCAATAATGAAATGGCAATCTTTAAGAGTATTATTGCATTGAGATGTGCTTACTTCGTCAAAATTTACATCAAATGTGCCTAGCACGTACACTATATAAAACATAGAAATACTCAAAAAATAAAATCACATTTGATGAATATCTCATATGATGTTTTAGATGTCACTATGGCGCTACAATCTCGGATTGTCTTGCTTTTACGTTTAATTTCACCTATAATACAGGATACCCCAGTGATTAGAAATACCAGAGTATCTATATACTTACCAAAAAAGTTTGAATTCACTTTATTACATATCATACATGTATTTGCTCTATTCCACTGAGTCAAGCACATATATAAACCAAAAATTACATTTAATTTATACTAAATCAATAAAATATGCATTAGTTTGTCAAAGACACACATGTTTCATCTATGTACATGAGAAATGGTATCAAAAACAACAAACTATACTAGAGTAGTTTTAGATTGAAACACATTTGCATCATACTTTACGTATTGTGAACCACTTAATTTTCATCGCTAGAAATTTTCATGTATTTGATAATTTCATTTTTTATCATATTTATGAAAGTCGCTGACAGTCTGTATCATATAATTTTCACTGATTAATTCACAATTTTCAAAGAAAATCTGTGTCTGCAAAATTAAGGCAATATATTGCATGTATGGACAGCAAATATGGATATAAACAATACATACCGTGTCTACCAATTCATCAATCAGGGTGTTGCATCGCAATGGATCTGGTAATGGAATGTATTTTCTAAAAACAATTAACAAAACAAATAGAAGAATTAATGTTACACTACATTTTGGAAAGTTATATTATTGTTTTTCATAAAAATATTTATAAATGATTCATACACCAACTAAGCCAATCACAAAGCTTTAAACGAACATCAGCTTTCGTATAAAATTCCAGAACTGTTAGTTTGACCTTAAACACATCGTGACAATTTCTATGTTAATTGAAAAAGAATAAAAATGTTTTAAAGTTTTGAAACATTCTGCACCAAACTGTGATAATGGTACTTGTAAAAAACTTGTAAAAAAACTGCCAATAATTATTTTGAAGCATTTTGAATAAATGTGATTGGATCTATAGATAAAAGATAAAAAAATGATTTATTCCAACCACTCAGAAAAGTGACACTTATAAAGTTAATAAAAAGTTAAAGTTAAAGTAAAAATTTTCAAAAATACTAAAATATAAAATAACCAACACGGTACATATAATAAGATTTTTTTTTGTTTAAATCCTGTTATAATTTTCAGGTTGTATAATAATGCAATACTGTGATACTGTGATGTTTTGATTTCTTATTCTGATTTGAATACAATGTTGAGGATCTGTGTTCGGGATAAATGTTTTATACATTTCTATGAAAAAAGGGGAACAGCTTCAAATATTATGATTACTCTACTTACATCCACATTATAAACAGTTTATTTTTGTCAAAATCAAAATGAGATTTGATTAACTCTACAAATTCACCAATTATTTTACCTTTTGTTCTGATTGGTCAATTGTGTTTTCAAAAATTGTTCTGTTCATACGTTTATTCCAGTTATTCTACTACATATGTCTCTTTGTCCTCATTCAGATCACAAAGACAATACATACTGTTTTGTGTATTACAGTAATGAAATTAACCTCTGCAGTTCAACACTGTGTACAAGTACAATTATTACTGCATCTTTCCATTTTATCATTTTCATAATGCTGGTATATAATCGTAACTTATCATCACAATCATAAACACACTCAAACTCGTGCAATTATTTAAACAGAACCAATATCACCCCCCCCCCAATATATATTGTACAATTAAGATAAGTTTACTATTGACCTGATATTTCTGTGTGTTTTCATTTCACTGTTCAGTGAACTAATTCACTAAACTAAATCACATGAAATGTAAAATCACAACTCACACCATCAAGGGTAAGATTTCAATAAACAGGCAAGGTCGATAACTTTCAGTAATGTTATGCATGATTACGTTTAATCATGGGGGGTACAGTTTCATAAGTCTTTGGAAATTTGTTTTATTTTATGAACAAATAATGCCTATTGTTATACAAGGTAATATCTTGAAAAAAAAAATTATGGTCTATAGTTGAACTATGGACATATAATGAATATAATTGTACCATATTTGCTCTAATAGAAGCATATTTCCAATAGAAGCTTATATCAACCCAAAATCACATTTGTTTTATACTAAATCATATATCAAATCATTAACATATGTACTTATTTTGACCAAAAGGACACCCCTGTAATGTACACTACTACTACAGAGCAATAACAGTACTTGCTATTCATAATGTATAGAGATCTTGTCACAATACAGACTACTAAGTGTCAAGTACACACAATAAATGTATTCCCAGGGACGACGTACAGGGTCTTTAATACTTACCTCAAGTACTTTGGTACAGTCGCAACCATGTATATATCAGTGTTGTTGTAAGTCTTTAAAAACTGTTCAAAAGTCGATTCAAACCCGGACTTGCTTCGAATTTCCTTCTTGGCTCTCTCGATAAATACTCTCTCCTTGCTGGTCTCGGGAAGGCTCATCAAAAACTGGTCATTCCATTGTTTAAATGCAGGATAATCGCGGGCGGCATCCTTAAATATAACTGGTATCGATGGTTGAACGTATTTTGTGTAAAACTCTTCAGGTTTCGGAAATCCATCGAGTGTCAGTAATGGTTGCCACTTCTTACCCGATCCTAAGGGCTCCATGTGCCCTGGCCATGTTGTGGGATCATTATTC